ATATCCAGCAAATCCATCTGGCGGAGTCAGGTTACTTTTGAATGGCTGCTACTGTATGTTAAAGTATGGATCAGGTTCTTCTTTATGTATGGATGTATAATGTATTTGCCTCTGTTTGAAGCACCTACCGACAAATCATGCTTTATTAATAATAATCAAAGTCATCCTGCTGCTGGAAGGGAAGAAGTGCAGCTGTGGGTTTGTTGGTACAGCAGAGAGGAGCAGAAGAATTCACCTGTCGTCTAACGGAGACTATTATTTCTAAAATTGTTCTCCATCATACAGGGAAGTATAGCTGAGAAAATGTGCTGCCATCTTTAATTTACCTTAATAACTATTTTGACAGCTAAAGTGTTTGAACACAATCATGATGTTCATCAAAGCCGAAACCCATTATATTGCCTTAACCTCCTCCTTTGACCTTAATTGCACTTAAATGTACATATAAAGGCTTATTTGCACTTTATTTATATATGAGAGCAACTTTTTTGGGAAGTAGGACCAATTAGATTACAGTTCTGTTTGGGAAGAGACCAGGAAATACAAAATATAAAGACAAATATAATCTGGCAAATCCATGGTTTCAGACTGCATAAAAGCCGACGGGTATGAATAATGTCTAGACCTTGTTTTTTTTTTTACATTAGACAGTAAATTCAGTTCAGAATGTTCATTTGGTTCACTACAACAATGAATTTCTTATTCTTGAAGAAAAACTTGGAATCAGATGGCCAATTGTTTGAAAGATTCTGAGATAAGGAATGGACTGCAAAGCAATGATAGGTACATCTGTTCCTTCAATTAAATGTCCAAAACATAAATAAATAATTGTTTCAGTATACTGGAATGTGTGCAGGGAATCTCTTTACAGCCGTTGTTAACATTAAAAAGTGAAAAATCAAAAAGGAAGGAGAATGGAGTAGAAGATTGATATGCGGATCAGTGCTGCTGCTGCTGCTATGAGGTGGACTCGGCACCGGTCTGTTGTGGTGAAGAGAGAGTTGAGCGAAAAAGCAAAGCTCTTGTTGTATCAGTTGTTCTACGTTTCTAACCTGATCTATGGTCATGAAATCTCCATTGTAGCTGAAAGAACAAGACCGTGGATACAAGTGGCTGAAACAAGCTATTTCCGCAGGGTGCCTGGTTACTCCTGAGATAGGAGGAGGAACTCAGGAGAGGCTCAGAGTAGAGCCGCTTCCCCTTCACATCAAAAGGTCTGCAGAGGCTTGGACATCTTTTTCGGGAGCCCTCTTATGCCTCCATTGGTAGTGTTTCCAGGCATATCCCACCAGGAGGGGCCAAGAGGACCACCAGAACACGCTGGAGGGACTTTTTATATGAATGTCTCAGGCTTTCCCCCAGCAGAGCTGCAGGAGGTTAACCTGACTCCGCCAGATGGATTTGCTCCGCATATCCATCTGGAAAGCTTCCGTTGAAGTAATTTTGGGAAGGGGCGAAAATACTGGTTTGCTGATTGGCCTATGTTGGTGATTGATGGGCCAAATAAATCAGATCAACGAAGCATATGACGTACTAACAGCCAGGCTACTTTTGCCGAAGCCAGTCGGGAGAAGAGTAAAAACATTTTTTCCTCTGAGAAAAGCCTCCAGAGCAGTGTTTTGCTCTTCTTTCAGTGAAGAAATACTCTGTAATTCCGATAAAACTTGCTCGATAGCCACGCTAACACTAGTTTCATCGGCTGAAGCCGGCATGTTCTTTAGACTGAACTGTCGCGCTTCTCGTTGCGTCACACCTCAACCCGCTAGCAGGAGGTGTGCAGGGAGAAGGAATTCTAAGAGTCTCTGGTAAGACTGCCGTACCCTCAACCTAATCCTAGATACAGTGGAAGAACACAAGGATGACCATGAAATAAATAATAATCAACTGTTCTAGAAGAACTTTTTTGGTGTTTGTTTGCTTTTTTGTTGTTGTTTTGTTATCTTTGGAGATATCTGGAAGACCAAATCATATCTGGGAAACATGTTAGTGTCTCTTCAAACCTGAAACAGTAAGTGAGTCACATCATATCAGGTCAGATGTTAGAATAAAACATTTTATCCATGTCCCTATGGAGCATTAGGTCTCCTACAAAAAAGCATTGAAAAAAAATACCTCAGAATGTATGAGCTTTGTTAACATTAGAGAGAGTATCCTATATTACTTTCATTCATCTTTCTTTATCTGTATCTTCAGGAAATGAAAAGTGACCAGTTTGCAAGATAATGATATACGACTAAGGATATATTTTTTCATTATCTCTAAAACTAACTTGATAGCAAACAAGGGGAACCTGGGGATGTGCGAGTGACTCATGGTTTGATTGTTCTGTTGAATCCTTAGTGTCATGGGGGATGGATATAGAAGAACAGAGGGATAGAGGAGAGAGGGGAGAGAGAGAGATGGAGAGGCAGAGGGAGAGACGAAGAAGGAAGGAAAAAGCTGGAAAGCCACCTGTCCGAAAGGGGGCCCCAATGATTGTGGCAGCACTTCCTCCCCTTTCCTCCCTCTATTTCTCCTCCCTCCCCCCTGTCTCACCTGCGCCTCGTTCTCCTTCAGCAGCCTGCGAGTGCGTGCCCCCCCTGGGTCATCGGTCACGTTCAGGATCACAACACTCTTCTTCTCCCAGCCGATGAACGAGCCATCCGTAAGGCCCTCCACCACGGACAAGAAGTCCTGGTAACCATGGTGGCGAGTGGACACCACAGAAAAGGCGGTCCAGTCGTACTCCTCCAGTACCTCGAAGATGACCTCTAACTGTAGCGCAGTGGAGGAACTGAACTGGAGAAAGATGGAACCTGATTCCTGATTTTGGGAGGAGAGCAGCATATGTGGTTAAATATGTCAATGCAAAATGTATTCTCTGTGTCAGAGCTGAGAAATTAAAAACATGTTAACTACAAGGAAATACAATGCTCTGAGCTGCTCTGTCTTTATGCACAATTAATCACAGGCATCATGAGGCTTAAAGTTTTAATGCAGCAGCAACACTTGTGCAGCCGTGGGGCTAAAAAAGCCCAGCCCGTTGAGTTAAATTTCTTCTGACGTTCAGAAGGGAGTGTTTCTAAAGTCTGCTCGGGGTGGGAGGGGATGAGAGAGATGCTGGAGTACAACTTCAAAGGAAGTTTATGAAAGTGCTACAACTTAATTCCTCAAGAGTAAATGGTTATTCTAAAAGTACGAATAGGAAGCTTTTTGTTTCCTCTTCTCTCGCGTTTGGTAATGCAATAAAGTATGCATTTTCTCTGGTATACATATAAATACATCCCCGAACATGTACAAGTATACACAGCATCCTTGTCCATTCATATACACCTTCATATCTGCTCATTGCCTCCCAACCTGGAACATCAGAGGAAGTGTGACAGCCCCATTTGGTACCATTTAAAGATCAAACACAGGAGCGTTTCTGCAGATCAGTGGTTGGCAGTGACCTACAGCATCCCCCTCTGTCCTATTGGAAGTCATTCTTCACATATGGTGTACAAAATATGATTACTTTGCTAACTGTTGTAGCAACATAAGCTGTTCTTTTCTTATGCTTCTTTCATTCGGCTGTTTGTGTTTGCAAAGTAGACACTAACCAGTTAGTTTATCCTTAAAATCCAAACTTTATTGTAAAGTTAATTGGAGCCACCTGTGCTTGCGTTGTTTGTCCATATTTAAAATTAACCTCATATAAAATATGCTCCCACATTTAAGCAACATTATATAATGTGTGTTATTTATTTGATTAAACAGATATTGAAAAAGCAGAAGAGGATTGGAAAATCTTCCTAGCCTTATAAATGTCAACATTCCTAGTCTTTTTTTTGTTTGTTTGTTTGTTTTTTTGTTTTTTTGCTTTTTAATTAAAAGACACTTTATTAATCCCAAAGTGAAATTAACGATTTGTTGTGTGTTTAAAGTTTGAAATATTATTTTTACCCTAACCATAACTTTGAGTCTATGGCTTTCTCTATGACCTACCTTTGTGTTCCTTTATTTTCTGCTCAAAAAATAAAGGAAACACTCAAATAAAACGTTACAGATGTGAATGAATGAAATATTCTTGGTGATTACTTTGTTTTGTACAAAATTGAATGTGCTGAAAACAAAATCACACAAAAATCAAAAACGGAAATCAAATGCAACAACCAATGTCACACACAAAATTTAAGTGGAAAGCATACTACAAGCGGATCCAATTTTGATCTAATGTCCCTAAAACATGTCAAGGTGAGGCTATATATTGTTTTTGGCTTCCAGATGCCTACATGACCTCGCTACAATGCCTGGGCATGATCCTAACAAGGTGGTGGATTGTGGATTTCCTCCCAAAACTGGACTAAAGCATCCACCAACTCCTGGACAGTCTGTGGTGCAACTTGGCATTGGTGGATTTTGGGCCAGTCCATAAAATCAATGCTGTCGTCTTGCAGTAACTGCTGACACACTCCGGACACATGAAGTATAGCATTGTCCTGCGTTAGGAGGAACCGAGGGTCAACAGTACCAGTATATGGACTAAGAGGGGGTCTAAGGAACTCATCTCAGTACCTAATGGCAGTCATGCTACCTCTTGCAAGAACATGGGGGGCTTTGTGGCACTACAAAGAAATGCCACTAAACACCATTACTGACCCACTGCCAAGCCGTTCATGCTGAAGGATGTTGCAGGTAGCAGATTGCTCTCCACGGTGTCTCCAGACTCTGTTCTGTCTGTCACATGTGCTCAGTGTCAACCTGCTTTCATCTGTGATGAACACAGGGTGCCAGTGGCAAATTTGCCAATCCCACATTTGTAGCCTCCTGGAGGTTGTTTTGCAGGGCTCTGGAAGAGCTCCTCCTGGTCCTCCTTGCACAAAGGCAGAGGTAGTGGTCCTGCTACTGTTTTGTTTCCCTCCTACTGCCTGCTCTACGTCTCCTGGTGTACTGGCAACGACACAGCAAACTTTCTTGCTACAGCTAGAATTGATTGTCAATTGGTGTTGCGTCCTTAGTGGACAGTTTGATTTCACAGAAGTTTGATTTGTTAGAAGTTATATTGCGTTGTTTACAACTTCCCTTAATGTTTTGAGCAGTGTATTTTCCCAAAGTTCTCTAATAAGGTACTTTCTCAGTATAGCCTAATATAAGGATAATCCTAATTTGAAAAGAGATTGATTAATTACCTCTGAATTAACATTCTGTTTAGTGTATCAGAGCAAAAAGTGCTTCAATACAAACCTTTGACAGATATTTTACTTTTTAGAAAAAAAAACTAACAACTAATATGCCTTATTTTGTATTAATTCATCTAAAAAAAACAACAAATAGGTGTAAATTGTTTGCTGGTATGTCTTAGTAATGAGAGTCCTGGACTGAGAAAAGTAGAAGTATAAAGTAAACTTTTACTTTTAGAATATATTGCAATACCAGATGCAACACAAATTTTGTGGATCAGACCCAGTGTTTCAAGAAGTCAGACTGTGGGAGACCAATTAGTGGATCTCATACTTCGTGGATCGCCAAACCACAGCATTACAAACTATGCACAGACCTGGCAGAGTTTTTACACAGAAGGCTTTCCCCGGTGCAACCAGGATTTTGAACTTAGATTGAGTCATCTTTTTAAAACAGTGGTTCCCAACACTTTTTTACTTATGTACCCCTATGGGACTTTTTGTCTTACCATGAGTACCCCCTCAGTCAAAAGTATTGATGACTGCCCAAAGTGGAATGTACAATAATTAATTATGAAATAAAAAGTATTTTTTATTTTTGTCTTTTTTTTTTAAAAAACAACAAAAAAAAACAACACAAATTTGTTGCCCGGAAGCTATTAAAGAATTTAAAATAAACTCATACTATAAATCTGCCTTTATAAAACTGGAGCTCCCCTGAGTTACACCTCTATAATTACATTTAAACTTGAGGAATTGGGGACAAAACACTAAAAAAAGATTCAAACTCACCCTGCTACAACGACTAGGATCAGAGCACTTTTTACACCTAAATTTGCTAGCTGGAAGATTTAAATGCAAATACTACAGTTGAAAAATGTGTGTCTGTTTTATTCCAGACTGACAAAAACATTTTTTCCTTGGAACTTCGCCAACTCATTACCAACCACCCTCCTCCTACCTGTGGCATCCTCCCCAGTCCTGCTCCCCCGCCTACAGCCACTATAGGCAGTCCTGTTTGTGCAGACACAAACTCCAGCATAGGGGCCAAGGGACCCCAAGCTGTAGGAGGGGGCCTCTCCTCTTCATAGACCAGACCCTGCAGGGGCCTCGCCGCTAACAGATCACACAGCTGGGACAGCACCGTTTTAGGGCTGCTGTCATTCACCTGAAAAATGAAGGGATGGATAAAGAACAGTAAAGAGGAAACATATAGTGTTGGCCATCTAGCACAGGGAGTGTTGACAGTGTGCCATTTATGTTGAAGGTATCTGTAGTATGTATGACATACTTCATTTACAATACAAGATACAGTCAGGATAAAGGCTGACACCTGCTTATTCAGCGAGGCTTATACAACAGCAATGTGCTGCTCATTCAGCTCAATAAGTATGAATAATGGATTGTTATTCTCCACCTTCAAGTTAGGCTGAGTGAGCAGAGGACACAGTGTCTAACCTGAAGCCAGATGACGTTGGCAGAGCCCCACTGGGTGACCACGCTCTCCCCGAGGGAGCCGTAGACCCGTCCGAAGCCAGGGTAGAGCACCCTTCCCCCAGGCCCTGCAACCGCCGCTTCCGCCTGCACTGTGGCACCGGCGTGGATCACGGCAATGTTGAAGTTCATCATGGCCCCTGCATCACGTTCCCGTGGGCTTGGCCGGAGCAGGAGGTGGGGGGATGCGTCCACCAGACCTGCCCACTCTGCCAGGACCAATAGGAGAGAGAGAGTAGGTATGGCGACCATGGCAACCTGCCGAGGGGGGGAGGCGGATATGTACTGCACTTAGGGAGGGTGCCTGAAAACAGAGGAAAGAAAAGAGAGGAATGTGATAAACAGGGGAAAATTCAAAAGAAGAAAATTTTAATGTCCTTTTTTTTCTCCATCACTGGCTTTACAGCGGACCTCATATCAGAGAAAACAGATGTCCAAAAAAGGAAGCAGAAAGATACAGTAACAAAGATATCTTTAAGAGGGAAAAAAACTGATGAGAGGTTGCATCCTGACCAAACTCTTAATGTAATCATGAAAAAAAAAATATTATAAACCTTGGCTAGGGAGAAAAAAACTGATAAGGAATAATGGAAGCAGAGGGGAACAAATAATTGGGGGACTGAAAGAAGGCAAGTCCGGGAGAAGATGAAATTGGTGCTATTTAGGCTGCAGGGTGAGACGCAACAAGATAAGGAAATATAGAAAAAGACTGATAGAGTAAAGGAGGGAGAGGAATTTACCAGTAGACAAAGATGGGGCACAAGTAGTTATTGTTCTGCATAAACATGAACAATTAAGATCGTTAAGGACACCATAATTCTCAAACTGATGCATCAAGACACAAATGTGAACATAAATACAGCCATATATATACAAACACCAGAGAAAATGTCCTCACTTTGCAACAACTGGTCCTCAATTTGATGGTGAAATCGGAAAGATGGTCCTCACTCTGACGCCCAGACAGAAGCACACACACAGTTGTGTTTCCATATTTTATGATTAATCTTTATTATCATCCATTCATTCGTATGGCCTAATCCAGACCTAACCCAAACCCTAACCATTATCAACATATACTTACTCAACCCTGGCTTAAACTGAATTCACACCTTAGATGTAAACCTAACTCAAACCAAAGGAGAGAATCTTTTCTCATGGGGAAAAATTGAGTGGTCCTCACAAGTACCTCTAAATCCCCACACTGTAGCATATTTAACAAATAATTGGCCTTACACTGTCCCCCACAAGGAAACAAAAACAAGTCCACAAAACACACATGCACACACAGTATCACATAAAAACACTTGTTGATAGTCAAACAGATCATCTGCTCATTTTGGACTGGATAGGCACTAGCTTCACATACTACCGTGCACACTGCTGAGGTTTTATTGTGATTTTAAAACTACAATAAAGATATTCGATTCTGAATTATTCTTGAGTCAGTCTAACGTACCCCATTGTAATGGATGTAATGACAACATTATACTTAAGTGCTTCCATTTCTGAATAAAGATAGAGGGGGCGGTCAGATTAAAAGTGTGAGAAAAAAAGAGAAAAGAGACCCATAAGAAGAAACAGGTGAAGGTGAAAAAAAAACGGTTTCAGGATATTATAGTTTAAGCCGGCAAAGATTTTTACAGAGAAATTTGATAACACATTATTTTTTAAGTTCTATCACATACAATCTAAAAAGACAGTGAAATTTGTGACTTTAAATGAAAAAATGGGAAAATGTTTAAGAGGTATAAATAATTTTGCCCATCACAAATCCTTATTAAGCATGGTCTGTTCTATACCTTCTCTTCTATATAAATAAGTGTTTATCTCCAATACTCTAGCAGGGAAATCCATGCCATTTTGTTTTTTACAAAACTACCTTTCTGACAATGCATTCTAAAACCCAGAAGATGTTTTTTGCACTGGAGAGAATCATTTTCAGAGTGAGAGAAATACAGCAAAATCTGCACATTTGCATTTTAAGAAAATGATTCATTTATGATTATAACTTAAATAAAACATTCAAATAAAATAACTCAAATAAAACTCTTACTCCCACTCTTTGCTTTTCACATTGTCTAAGATCTCAATCTACATGCTCTCATTATTTACTCCCACTCTGGAACACACAGCAAACATCACAGTAATATATTTTTTTTAAGACTATTTAATCATAATATAGTTTTCCTTTAGTTGTCCCTCAATTGAATCCTTCTCATAAAAGGTATGGGGCACAATACAGGAGAAAGAAGTATACTGTATACTGCTGACATTTCTAAAATGACTAACTTTTATGGTATAGCTCCCACTAGATGAGCGAGGGAAAAAGAAACGCCACATGAGAGACACTGACAAGCCTAACAGGTAATGGCTCAGAGCTTGTTTCAGCGGGAAATATCTTCACGAATCCAGACACATTTGTGTAGCATAATCTCCGGCTACCTTATTTATTTTTGTAATTGTCTTATTCATTGATGTAACGTCTTTCTGTCAGGATCTCTGGGTTCTTGCTGTTTTTTCTGGTGAGAGTGAGCTTTCTGTTGCAGAGAAGATCTTTACTGGTGACTGGGCCGAACCCTGTGTTGCCGAAAACCTGAGAACATTTCTCAATCAATATAACTAGCATGAGTATAAGAAGGCGACTGATCATCGCTCTTTGCCAGATGTTTACCCCTGATGGTTTTCCAGCCACCAGGAATATCTTTCTTGTTGAATTTGTCCTCTTGTGAATCTCTTTAATTTGGACTCTGTTATTGTTCCAGACTACAAGTGAACCTCAGTTCGTCTCCGATCTTCATGGAAAAGGTCTCACCTGAGTGCAGAGGTTCTCAGTCTTTGCTGGAAAGCCTACCCGCTCTGCAGAGCATCTCTTGAAAGTACGAACGCTATCGGATCTCACTCACATTCTCCTGGACCTCTA